GCTGGAACCATCTATTGACAAACAGCGGGAACTTAGTTGCGCACCTAATATATAAACATAACATTTGTTTACAATAAAAAAAAAAAAAGATATATAAAAAATATTTATAAGTAAATAATATTTAGATAACACAAAATACTGAAATCTATTTTTTTAAAGTTTGAATTCGTTAAGTGCCTCTACTTCCTTCTGAGCATTTTCGAAAATTCGAATTTAGCCAGTCTTAAGAAAATCGGTAATCTTACTTAAGGTACCTTTTCATGGTGACCCTCATTTTTAGCGTCAAAACAGATAACGTGATAAAAATTAATGAATATCAAGAGCGTCAATTTCGATCACGTGACCTATATTGACGCTAAAAATGAGCGTCGAGCATTAGCGTAAAAAGGCATCTTTAATCGTACAAGTTGGCCAACTTCATTGATTCATCGGTAAGACTTAAGACTACCGACTACTGACTCATTGTAGAATTAGCATATGCGAGGTTTTCTACAATAGAAATCTAGTGACCCTAAAATCTGAAATCGTAAGCAATTGACTAATTATAGTCGATTATGTATAGGATTCTCCTCACATTTGACTACGGTTGGTCAATTTCTCACGATTTCAGATTTTTATACGACCATTACGACTCTTATTGTAGACCACGTATTATTCCTTTACATGCTGTTAGTATATCACAAACGGCTGATCGGCTGCTATCTGGCAATAGGGTCTAATCAAACTTGCATTATTTATCAAAAAATGGTCAAAGAAATAATTCTGTCAAATAAAATAGAATTTAAATTTAAAAATAGGATTCGAAAAATTTCCCTGACAATTTCAAAAAAATTCCATGAGAATTCCAAGATTTTCAAGGGTAAAAAAAAATTCTCTGAGAATTCCAGGTTTTCTAGGTTTTTCCCGGTAGAGGATACCCTGACAAACATTGTGATAAAAATATGCAGCCGATAAAAAGGAGAGGTGACAAATATTTTAATTAAAATATGTTTAATACACTTCCACATCGTTCAATAAGCTTAATTTCCACGTTGAGACTTGCTATGATCTTCTCGTTAGAGCACAAAATCAAATTTAATCATATCTGTAGTGGGCGTCCAGATGCTCACGTTTTGCGCAAGTAACGTTATAATATATCGAGTAAAGACCCACGTTCATTTATTACTTACACTACAAAATAAGCAAATTTGTCTGAGTCTAAAACACGTGTAAATTACACAAGATAATGCAATGTACCTTGGTAACAAATCATCTGCTATAACAATATTAATCATTGCTAACACGAAATAAATAAACCATTTTATTTCAAGTTTATTTTATTGCAGTTTTCATGGAGAGAGGACAAGAGCCAAATATATATAAATTTAATCGGCTTGATTTTATCTTAAATCCGTATTATAATTTACAATGCGATAAAAATGTGGAACAGAATTCTATTGATAATTAAACGCTTTCGATTGCAAAATATAATTCTGCAAGCTATGAATTTTGTCTGAAATATATGAGAAATAAAATTATGAAATTATGTTGTAAAGTATATGCGTATGTTCTCATACATCATTTTTTGAAGCCGCAAAAGCAAAGTTATCGAATATCCTGAGCAGAATATCTGAATGAATAATATTGCGCTGCGAGTTTACTATTGCAAATATCATTAAGTGCTGAGATAGCGAAGATGGCGAAGTTTCGGCTTTGTTTCCCCACGGGTGAATCTATCATGAAGGAATATCAGTACTGACGTACGTTCGACAACTTTAATAACTTCTCTCGTTTGGCTGTATATTCTAGAGAGAGACAAAATGAGATAGAAAGAAAGAAAATCGGTATTCATCGAATTTTCTAAAATAAAAAATTCGTCCTAATTAATTATGTATCCGATCGAATGTATTTTGCGGAAAATTTTACATGCGGAATATTCAAGTGCAGTTGAATTTTTCAAATAGAAGTTACGCGTTTCAACGATTACGATTTGTTGCAATTTTTCATGATTTCTTCCTCGTCGAGAACCCTTTAGAAGTCTCGCAAGCTTACAACGGCACTCCACTTTATATCAGTTTATCACGTACTCTCCATTTACCTTCCAAGGATTTAACTTTTTAGATCTACCTTCTGTATCGTGCTTTTTCCCTATTCTTCTTTCTACTGTCATGCAGTTTTTCCATTCAAAAATATATCCGGGGGCGCAGTCGTTTTACGACACGTTAAAAATATGACTTCTACAAACAAATTTTTAACGTCAAAGTAACTCTTAACGTCAAAGCAAAAAAATTCCACGTTAAACAACTCGGTCAAATATTTTTAACATGTAAGGCGACGTGAGAGAAATTCAGTACGGCAAAAACCCGAGACGATCAAAAGAAATTCACCGCATACCTTCTCTCCGTAATGATTCTGCGTCACTCCCTCACCGTAAAACTTTCCAAATACTTCCTTGCACGTACTTCTCCGCACCTGTATTCTTTTTCTTATTTTAACCGGATGACAAGCTTCCGGCCGCAACAGAGGAAAAGTGTTTACGTTTACAAGAGATACGCCGCAGCTCACCAGTTACTAACAAAAATTGCCTCTCGTTCTGATAACAGAACTTAAGTGAGTAAATCTCCTTTACATTAAAGTTTCTGAATCACCCAAGTTGCTACGATCGTTTGGTAGCAACATGCAAACTGATAGCCCATAGAAAACACTTCTGTTCTTAACGACCTTAACTTTAAGTGACTGTATCGCAGAGAAACGACTTGACCCTCTTGACTCTCGAACTTGACAATAGCCTTTTGCCGCGATAAAAAAAAAAATTATTTTGGCATCCCTCTATGTTGTCTCTTCCGAATTTGTCGAAGGAGTCACAGCACACACTCGAAAAGTAGCGAGACATAGTATGCATAAATGGAAAAGCGGGGACGTCTCTAATTGAGTTGTGTAACGTGGCTGTGTCACGTCTTTAAAATCTCATACATGTGCTCTCTTAAAAGTTTTCCTCTGGACGTAAAGTACACAAACCAATGTTTTCGCTCAAATATTTGCCCGGCTTTAACGTCGTTCCTTTAACAGAGATTTCATATATATCCCGAGTCTACTGAAATCTTCCTCCGGATTGTATTTCTCATGAAAAACCGCACGGTATTTTACCACCGCAAATTGCACTTACTTATTAACACATTAGATCGTGTGACACAATAAAACCAAAAAGAAGCAATTTTCATTTTGTCTTGTCGAAATAAACACTACGAGAAACATGAGTTAACATAACAAAGGGATTTTTCTATCATACGCCTAACAAGCTAAAATATTTTAATTGTAAAATCCATTGGTTCCTAAGTTTTACGTCTTTAAATATCAAGAACATTTACTTCGTTTCTGTTTATATCGTTTACACGAATACTTATTACGGCATATTTACTGAATTAAGTTGTTTGTGCGATGTCTTTAACGAAAACAACGGAAAATGCAAAATACATTATCCCAGATGTCATTTTAACTCTATCATTTTAACTAATCATGTTATCCTATGAATAATACGAATTTACTTTTAAGCTGATAAAGTAATTAGAGTTGCTAACGAGATACAGCTGTGTATTGGAGATAGGTGTAAATATGCTGACGTGTATATGTGCTATGCAAAAACGTATATATATAAAAACGGATTTGTCTTAAAATAAGAATAGGTACTTGATGTCTCATTTAAATATGTGGTAAAACATGCATCATTCTTACAGAATAATTCTATAATATTTTAATTCTAATTTATTTCAAATCTTTCTACATTACTGCAACACTTGTATTTTATATAAAAACATCATTAGATGATTTTATAATTCCTAAACTTGTTCCTTTTTTTTTTAATTTAAATTTATTTACAGTTTTTCAGCACATTAACATCTTGCTAATATGATGCCTGATTATATATCAAAATTATTTAAGAATTGCTTGTCAATTTAATTTAGTTCGTGATATTATTCCAGTAGTTTAATTGCGTTTATAAGTCCGGAAAACCAATTCGGCGCACAGTTTGAATGACTACAAACATGTTATATATGCAAGTACATAGTATATACTCGTATAGTATAGGATATGTAATTCACATTGAATTATTTAAAAAGCATTATAGATCTAGCTTCGACCTTTTTTTTTAATTTGCAATATTATAAATCATAAAACTATACATTCTCAATAATTCAATTTAGTTTTCTTTTTGGCTCTCTTTATGATCACAAAAATACAGCGAATTTGATAGTTGTTCATTGAAAAATGGTGCAGCTAACGGGGCATGTAACTCACATATTGGAGCAGGAAAATTGCGAAGATTCACGTGTCCTTTCACGACTCTGAGCGCACAAGAACCGATCCTCCTTCAAATAAAATACCAGAGCACACTCCTTTTTGTGAACCGTTTGTACCTTTTCTCACGCTATTCATCTCTTCGTTTACCGCCGACGATAAAACTTTGAACATAATCGAGAAAATATTTTTCGTTCTAGCCGACCGTGCTTCTATACACTGATTGAGCCAATTTTCTTTTCATTTTTTGCGATATCGGTACGCAGCTTCCTTTCATTTCTTTTCCTTTTTTCTTCCTTTGTTCTACCTTTAGATGACGAGAAAAATCTCCGGTCTATGTAAATTTTTCGTAGAGGGGAAGGAAAAGCGTTGATAGAAATCCAATCATTAGGTGAAACAAGTTCGTAACTAAATAACAAAAGTAGGGAAGTAAAAGCACTTATTTTAAATTATAAATATGAAACAAGAGCATACCTTGAAAATAAGCTTCGCATGAATAATCTTTCGTTTTTACTGTATGTTCTGTGATATCTGATATTCGTCGAAGCGGTCAACAAAAAACCATAAAAAACATTCGTTACATTTTCCTCAGAAATTTTGACTTCTATTGTGGACGTGAGAATCCCCGCTTACATATCACTTTCGTTGAATTTCATTGAGGATACGAGGGAAAGCTACTCGCGCGTGCGTGAACAGGAGAGACTCACCTGGAAAATGATAACCTTCTTCAGTACTGCGAGATTCACGTGCAACGCCAACTCGGTCTTGAACTTGTCCGGGAGTAGAGCGAGGGCGGTGTTGATATCACCCCCGCCTTGTACCCGGCCGCGCGAATAGCTGTAGTCGTACCATCTGAGCACCCGTCGTTTCATATCATCCGGAACCTTGTGATGCCTCATGTAGGTCTTGGCACCATCCAGAATCCTTTCAAACTCAAGACGGCTCACATTCCTGTTTTTGATGATGGTGCCAACCTGGCCGACGATGGTCGCGAATACGAAGACGCCAGACAAGTAGCTGATTATCGTGAAGACGTACCTGCGAATCAAGAAGGGAGAGCCGATCAGTCCGAGGAGGATGTGATCAGTGTCCTCCGTTTATGGACGAGCGGCTCCCGCCGGAGCCTTCCTCCTCTTTCTCTCTTTTATTTTCTCCTTTCTTTCTTACTTGCCTTCCTCGCGTTCGTTCCTCCCCCCTCTCTTTCTTTCTCTTTCTCTCTCAAATCACACTCTTCCACTGTCTCCCTTTCGTTCACTCTCTCTGTCATACACTGACACGTGCAGCCACATGTACACACAACACATGAACAATCGCAGACAACCCGCTGTCGTACCTTCTATTTGATCTCTTTGTCAATTCGCAAAACGGAAAGAGCGATGGTGGAATGTGTATTTTAGATTCAGCCGCAGAACCATTCATTGATATTCTGACTGAACGTGATTGCTGAATCAATGAATAGTCAAGTGTCATTATAGATTGTTAAAATTCCCATGATTCCCAAGCTGGAGTCTTAACGAACTCAGAACTTAAAATTCGCTCCTGACACAACTTGTTAATAGTTAACCGAGCGTTTAGACATTCTAAACAACGCATATCTAGTCTCTTCGATAATATCTCAAAAATTTTACACTCGATAGCTTAATCCAGCATCGTAAAACTTTGAATCTTTAAAACTTTATAATATATTTTAAACCAACTTGCAAAAGCTTTAAAGAAAATATTCGTTTTCATATTCCTGGCATAAATTCTATATTTCTTTATATTCTTTTTAATGGTTTTTAGCCAAGTTTCATTAGATTGGCTTTTACATAGATTAGTTTCATTGATGATTCATGAATGAAAGTAATAGACTTTTAGCAAGTCTAACTACGAGAAAAAGAAAAACAGACGGAATTTTCAAACAATCTTACATTTCATTCAAGTTGAAAATTTACGAGATTTAAAGCTGTAGTCAAAACAACGTTCCGCGATTTAAGAACCATTATATTCTCTATCGTAATAGTCAAGGCTGGATAATCGTTTAAAATGCCAAATATAAAATACTTAAAAAAATGTATTTAAAATGCAAAATGTTTTTCGAATCCACTTTATATGTAAAATGAGTAAATAGATATTTTAAATAGTTTTCAAATACAGAATGGTTTTTTTCCTTACATATATTTTAATATACATTTTTTTAAGTATTTTACATTTAGCATTTTAAATAGAATTACATTTTAAATGGCATTTCTAATGCAAAAATACCCAGCCCTGGTAATAGTAGGGGAGATCGGATCTCGTTGGCACAAGAGGTAAGTTGGCATTGCGTTCCGTTTATGTATTTGTGGCAAAAGAAACAATGGAAAAGTTACTGCAAAATATATCTTTTATAACATAGATACTTCTCTCTAAATTTCATTTAAATTAAACAAGTATTACAATAGAAAAAGAAAAAATCTAATTCAAGAGTAGGCAAATAAATTTTTGATCATTTCATAATTTCATATTAATGTCCTTCGGCTTGAGGAAACAAACCTAAGTGATGTATTATTAGTTAAAAGAAAAGTGTTTGTCAGTATACAATACGTTATTTTGAATAACAATTATATTTTTTTACAATAAAATGGTCAAAATTAGACGTGTGTAGGGATGGGGTACTTTGGCTCATATCATAAGGAAAGATTAGGTTAACTTATTGTACCGCACGTGTAAACATTCATTTACAATTTAACTTTAACAAAACACTTTATATTTAATATTTCTATATTAAAATAAAATAGAACTAAAATAATTTATATTTGTTTTTCAGTAACAACATTTTGCTGTTTGACGATTATAAAATAACTTTGAAAGATACAATTTTTACTAAGAAATACATATCTATTCTTTAATTTTTATTTCTACTACTTTTCTATTACATTTTTGTTAATTTAATATAGAATTTATCACAAAGACAATTTATACTATGATATGTACCAATTTACCCCACATATTGGGGCAAGTTAACTACAATGCAGCATGTTCGTATTTCATTTATTGCAAAGAAAGTAAACAGTGTATAGAACTATTATTAGTATGAAAATGTAGAGAAAGGTTCTCTCTATTATACTGATGTATTTTAATCATAATAGTTAATTGTTTAAAAAATCTAATACCAAAATTGTGAAAACTGTGCCAACGAGACCCGATCTCCCCTACCTATCCGATCCTTCTGACCGACATGCTCGCAACAGTTCTTTTTGCTCAGTTTGTCTAAATTTCGCGATTCACCATACCTCAAAAGGTATTTTTTCCTCTTTTCGTATATCGACATACAACTGGCATACACATATAGATTCATATATGGAAACATACACACATAAGGGCGCTTTTTCCTTCGATAGCCTCAAACCGACTCGGTTTTCTAAGAAAAACACCCTTTCATTCATCTTCCTTTTGTTCCTTCTGGAGCAAAATTCTCTCGCTTCCGCCTCGAACTTTTCCCCTTTCAGTGTTTCTCTCATACGTTCATTCCCTGTGATGGCCTCCCATTTCTCTACTCATCAACACCAAGGATTGATTGATTGATTGATTGATTGATTAAGCGTTTATTGCAGTTCTAGGACGAGCCCTCTAAGAACTATAATACAGTAATTACAACGACGAAAAGAAATCAAAGAATAATAAACATCGAATGAAGTATGAGAAAATTAGTGAAGTAGTGAGTATACATTACGCGTACAGAATAAGTGATAACGAACAAGAGACAAAATAAAATTAACAGAGTAACAGAATGAATGAAAATGTAGCAAAATAAGATGAAAAGAGATATAAAGAGTACATATGTACGAGTATATAGAGCTATGCCAGAACATTAAGTGTTGAAAATTAAGAGCTAAGGACCACGAGCTAGGAGGACTCGCGGTGCTGCAGATGGCAGAAGAGTGATCGCCTAAAGAATGACAGTTCACGTGGCAAAGGCGAAGAGATCCGTCAGACGCCAACCGAGCAGTGACCGGCAGTTAATTGCTGCGCTGAGATGGCTGCTTGGGAATGGCATCAGGAGCAACCTATGCCCTCTGGACGTGATCCCGGAATGAGGTCCAGAAGCGACCGCGAACGCGCCGGCCGAGGGAGGGTAGAGACACTATAATAAGAGACTGGCATAAGTTCTAGTTGGATAGAAAATGGCGTTCACAGGACGATAAGTCATAGGACACGTTCGCAACTAGGACGGAAAAGCAGAAAAAGTAAGAAAGCAGAAACCAATCAGAATTCGGGCTGTACTATCATCTTGAAACATGAGATGATGTTCCCCGGTGAGACCTTGATCTTCAAGGTAGAAGCGACGTCGGAAACCAACGCATGCGGATCCTCCAGAGGGGAGTTCTCTCACACCGAATAGGATTAATTCGGAGCCAAGCTTAGCGCGCTTTAAAGCCTCAAGACGTTCCTCAAAACGAGCCTTCGGGCCGTTACGCGCCTGATTAGTCTCGAGCGCCTTGACGCGAGCATCGAGATCAGCCTGCTGGATTGTGGTATATGTGTGTTTATGTTAGTCCTCGCAGAGAGATCGGCGAGCGACACAGAAATGCATAGAAATGCATAGAAACGCATAGAAACGCATAGAAATGCATAAAAACGCATAGAAATGCATAGTGACTTCGAGTGAAGACAATTGCTTCTTAACGGAAGACAGGTCGTCAAGCTTGGCCTCAGTATTAGACATCTTCTGCAGGAGCGAAGAGCAGAGATGTCTGAAAGAGCCCGAATCCTCCGGAGAGCAAGCAGCGCCGCCGGCCGGAGGACAGGGGACACACGCGACAGGAAGCGTAGGCTGAGAGAGACCGTATGTTTTGCAAATAGGGCAAAGGAGCGCAGAAGCGTCCGAGAGTCTCGGAGAACGTACGCAATCCTCATGGAAGACGTGCTTTGGCAAATGGTCGCAATGCAGAAAATGAGCAGCTGCATGCAGATTCCGAACGATAGCGTCATTTTAGCTTAGTAAAGGAGAACCTGAATACAGGATCGTAATCAGCGAGATTTGACAGCGCGGGCGATGTAAATACGCAGAAACCTTGTGAATATTAATGTTTGGCGCGATGATGGAAAGAGCGGCCAGATACAGCACACGCACAGGCGACGCACGCGCAAAACACCAACACAGGAAACCGATGATGGGATCCGGAGACGTTCGCTACGTTTTCTCAGAATGCGATTTCCGAAAATTTAGAAGAATCCTTAATAGAGGATCGAGAAGGCACTCACGGATGAGACAGAGTGTCAAGCAGGATAGCCCTTGACGGAAAATCTGGAAGTAAAAGGCCCCGGAGGGTAGCGAGCGACAGAAAATAGTAATTAAAACAGAGCCGAAACGAGACACGTCAACGTATACTCACAGAGCCGCGGAGAGAGGGGCGATATTTTATCGATTAATTGATACTCGAACCACCCTTTCTTTTATTCAAACATCGATAATTTCTTTTTAATATTTTAAGAAATAATTAGTGTAGATATATATAGGTACACGGAAAAAAAATGTTTCTGGTTTACAGCTAATTCTGATTAGCTGAAATTGCATTAGCTACTGTAGCTATGAATTTGTTAATACATACAAAGGATTTGCTGCTGTAGCTAATATAAGGACGTGATAGTAAAATATGCATGTCTGTTACAGATCGATTTATTTAGCAATATGAAGTTAGTTGTCACAGTTATCGAATATGTCCGTGTAAAAGAAAATTGTCTCTACCACACAGTTAAATATGGTTTGCTGAAACTGTACTTGCTACCAAATTGTTTGTTATTATTTTCCCTGCCATAACTAATTTTTAGCTGTGGCAGCTAATCTTTTTTTTCCGTCTACATCCATTTACGCCGGTTGATTATGTAAATTTTTTTCAGGCTAACTATAAAATAAAATTAATATTTACTAATTAGCTCGTTTATGGAAAAATTCGAAAAAATCAAATCGCTCGTATTATCTTGATTAAATAATTTTTCGTGATCGTTTACATAATTGACATCACTCATTCCTAGATTGCTTCACATTTTTTGCTTTGGACTGATTCTACT